CAAGACCTGTTTATTCCTGAAAAAAAGTATATCATGATGAGTTTTATCCATTCTTCTGCCAATAACGCTTAGGTGAGGCACTGGTATTATGCTGAAAGTACTGATTTTAGAGCCTTTGTCTAAAATACTTCAAATTACATCAAAGGTTAAAAAATATTGCTAGAATTGCTAGAATACTCATTTGTGCATAGATGAATGTTTAATGTAGTGCTCAATTGTATATTTCTTGAAGGTTTGTAAAGTTAGACTTTTATCTGGTAATGTTTTTCTCACATCCTGCCCGTTTAGCACAGGATAGAAGAATATTTAACTTGCTCGAACCCTGTGATGATTACTAAGCTTTTGATAGATAAAGTATCTGTGTCATGAGTACAAGAAGGTATCCTGCATTAAAATGGGGAGCGGAAGATACTGTGTAGTAGKCCAGCTAATCTGTTAGCACATTGACTCCCTTGACTGCCATTCTGGCAGATAAATACCCGTGTCAAATAAATACAAAAGATACTCTAATTGTAAAACTGGATGATGTGAATACATTAAACAGATATGATTTTTGCATATGGCTGAATTATTTAAGTGTTTGTCACTGCGGAATGAAAGAGGAAATAATTTGGTATTTATGTACTGCTCAGTAAAGGGAAGCATGAACCTTTTTATATTGTTGTGTGTGGCAGTACATAGGACACAGCACTTAACCTATAGGCTGGAGGTCTATCTGTGTGCTTAGGGGAGATGCTTAATTTGGTGTTTCTGTTTTCCTCTTTTCTTCAGCCCTACTTGAAGAAAACATTTCTCGATGTAGCTGGTACTACTATCTCTGCAAGCTTGGTGTATGATATATATCAAATCTAGACAATTTTCCTGAAATATTTGTGTTCAGGGTGACATGTTGCTTSTATGGATAAGAATAATTGTTCTGAAAGTGGAGGATTTTATTTAGGGACACAACCACAGCCACATTTTTGACTAAATTATACTCTGTAAAAATAATTGAATGATATTTTTAATTGGTTTGATTATTTTATGCTTATACGTGAGTACTGGAAGAATTGTTTGGCCAAGCTTATCCTACAGCTTTAGAAATGGTAATTTATCCTATTAATAATAATTAGGTTGATAATACATGATTTTGGTAGTAGAAGATACATCTGTTCAGGAGTGGTCCTTTTACACCATTTTTAATGAACAAAACTCTTGTAGACAGTTATCTCCCTTGCTCATCAATGTACCTTAGATTACCGGAATGTGAAGAGCAGGCTTTCTTTGCTGTTTTACTCTGATAGCCCATTTTAATCTGAAAATTGGTGAAATACAAATTTGAATTAGTCTTCTTTAATAAGCACATATTGTCATGAAACATAAAATTGCCAGTTTACTGAAGAGAACTTGTTGCAGAGCACAGGACAATGTAAGAAATACTAAGTAAGATCTCTTTTACCTCTATTGTTTGTGCTAAGRGTCTGGGACCAAAACACACGGGAAGAGGTCTAACGTGGTCAACAACCTGGCTGAGTAATAACACCCCATCACTGTTGTTTTACCTACTGCTGTATTAAAGACTTGGTTGTAAAATCTCGCTCAGAGTTGTTGTTACTGAGTTTTTAAGAGCAAAAATACCCTCTCTTTTTACAGTCTGTTCTGGTTCTCTTGCATTGCCTGAACTAGTGGTGTGCTGGAGTTAAAGATTAGACAACAGATATTGTTTGTATTCTGCTCCTTAGACCAGTGCTCCTCTCATTTGTTCAGTAAGGTCAGGTGTAGAGCCCCTAAACTTTCAACTTTGCAAATCTTTAAATTGAATGTAATCATTCTGTGTCCTTCACAGAAGAGATGTTAGAGAGGGAGAAAATGATGGCTCCTAAAAGAAATGTGTATTCTTCTTTTCTCTCTAAACAATAGGAAAGACAAAGGAGTATTTCCATCCTTGAAAATTCTTGGCCTTCTCCCATATAATTTTTTATTGTTTCAGAGCTGCAGTGTGTCTCTGTAGCAAAGCTGTAGCTGAAGTAAGTTTTAATAAGTGTGTAAGTATTGGTGCTCCAGGGCACCATGATGCATTTTTAAAAGAATGCCCACATTTTTCTCATATTTTTAGAAGAAAGAAGCATTTGGGCTGGTGAATGGGGCAGACATTTCATAAAATCACAGAATGCTTAAGGTTGGAAGGGACCTCTAGAGATCATCTAGTCCAAGCCCCTGCTCCAGCAGGGACACCCAGAGCACGGGGCACAGGGAGGCATCCAGGCGGGTTTGGAAGATCTCCAGAGAAGGAGACTCCACAGCCTCCCTGGGCAGCCTGTGCCAGGGCTCTGGCACCCTCATTGTCAAGACATTTTTCCTTAAGTTCCTGTGGAACTTTCGAGGTTTTAGTTTGTGGCCGCTAGTCCTTTTCCACTAGTCCTCCACATGTGGGAGCATGCTCCCCTGTGTGTGGGTTTGCATTTTTTGAAATGTGAGCTAAGGAAGCAATTAATTTTATAGACGTAGATAATGTAGATACAGAATATTTATAGATGCAGATTATGTAGATATAGAATAGCATTAGGTTATTTGAAATTTTAGATGTTGTTGGTTGTATTGGAATCCTAGAGGTGAGTCATTTTGTAGATTTAACAGTCAATATGCAGTCCATTCATTTTCCTTCTTTCTCCAGGTTATGTCAATTACTGTGTTCTTGTGAAGAAGCTGAATAAAAAAGCCTTTGTCATTGAAAATTCTTTAGGAAATCACTAGGTTATGATCTTTATGTTAATTTTTTCAGGTGGCAGACAGAAATATAGACTGTACAAGAACAATTTGATAAGGGAAGCGTCTTGCAAATGTGTTTCCTGTGTGCAAAGGCCTACAGAGTAAATGAATATAATCTGCAGCAGACACTGTACTGTTCAGAAAGCTGTGTGCCTTTTCTGGTTTCTTTGCCAACACCTAGGGAATGTAGAATATTTGCCCTGGTTTTATTGCCCACAGATATTTTCTGTGTCCCGTGTAATGAAAAGAACTAAATACTTCCTTGTACCCAGATTAGACACACAAAGAAGAAAGATTTGTTTTAAAAAATGACACAATTAAAATTATTGAGGAAAATTTACTATTGAGGGTAATATCCTTTTAATAGAAAGATTAGAATTTTACTCAATAAAGTGCAGAATACTAATTCAAAATACCTAAAAGCTAAAGAAAACAACAACAAAAAAGTGTACTTTTGATTCTGAGCTATGTACCTTAGTGTCATATGGTTACACTTGCTAAAATAAAATAAACTGGAACATTTTATTATAGTCAGCTTGGTCTTAATAGTGTATATAATAACAGACAAGAGGATTTGCCATTTGACATGAGCAAAATGCAAAACTCTTGGGACTGCACAGGACCTGTCCAGCTTCTGAAGTCAAGACAAAATTTGATTTGTCTAATAGACGGATTTTAACCAAGTGATGAAAAAAGGGAAAATTGAAATTAGAGGTTGCTGTGTGTGGTTTGTGGTGTGTGTATTTCCGCCGAGTTTTGTACTAGATTGAGGAAACATTTTCAATAACTTTTTCCTTTTATGCATGAAGATATTTAACTTGTGTTTTGAATTATCTTATTTTGCRGGGAGGAGGGCAGTGTCACCTATTGCATTTATCTTCTAATGTGTTACAGAACAAGAACAAACGTCTGGAGAAAGTCCATGTTGTTCTTGGAAATAAATCCTGTGATTTGGATTCTCTCATTTCTGCTCTGACTTATGCCTACTTTCTAGACAAGGTAAGGAAAAAAATGGGCAAAGAGTTCATAACTAATTTGTTATAGACATCTTATTATTAAGCAGATTGAAACGTACTACAAAAAACAGTCTAGACAGTGATTTTGTTACAATCAAAGGTGAGATTTTCAATTAGAAAGAATCTAGATATCTTCTTTTCCGCATGGAAGTTAATGAGTGGGCATACACTAGGTAGCTTGTTCCATAGGCTCAAAAAACACCCCTGTGAAGTTGCCAGCAGGTGGTTTATGTATATATATCAGTTACATTTGATTTAAGCAATGCATAAATTGCCAGAAAGTCTTTTCAACACTGGAATGGATTACACCCTAAAGCCTGCAACACAAATAGCAGATCTTTGGGTAAATGCTTTTCATGAACTGCTGGAGGTAGAATGGGTCACTGTTAATTGTTTGTTATTTATTAGTATTTAAATTTGTGCTCACAAGCTCCTGCTTAGCTGGTATGCTAAGCACTGAGTGTGAATATCATGAAAGGCAGACAGTGATCTGACGAATTTGCTGTCTTAACGATCACAGCCAAAGAAATGTGAAGGTCTTTGCATTTTATAAAAAGTGTATTGGGATCAAGAATATTGCCTCCTGGCTCAGCTGAAGTCCGTGATGCTGACTTTGATCAGGAGGTTACTTTGCAGAAGTTAAGTGGTCTGTGCACATGTATGTTTTGATAGACCTGACTCTTCATCTTCTGCCAGAAATACAGGACCAGTCAATTTTGAAAGACGTGTTTTGATTAGGGGTGTCAAGGTTTTAAGTATTGGAGTCCAGTGAACTTAGACATTGCTGATTTGTGTATACAGAATTTTAGAGATAACAATCTTATCCAGAAAAACAGAAGTGAGTTTTTTTAAGGCTGTATATATGCATTTTGCCTCCTAGTTTTCCAGCAACTCTGCTGGATATTCATAGAGACAGAAGAACAACAAAAGTGAAAAATGGTTGTTTCTGCTGTTTGTGAAGACAGAAGTAAAAGAGGGAAAATTCAAACTATTTTTAATGGCTCAGCATGCTAAAATATCTTCCTAATCAAAAACAGGTCTTATTTTGTGCAACTCTGACCAGTATATACCTACATTACAGGTCAGCCCTCCGGATGTTCTTTGCTTACCTGTGTTGAACATACCAAGAAGAGACTTCAGCTATTTCACAGAAACAAGATTTATATTGGAGGAATTGAATATCCCTGAGTCACTCTATATCTTCCGAGATGAAATCAATTTGCAGCAGCTGCATGATGAAGGGAAATTATCTTTAACACTTGTAAACAGCAGCATGCTGACAAGGTATTACATTGTATATACAAGCTTACTTGGGCCTGGCTTACTTTAAAAAATATGTTTCAAACTTTTCCTGAATAAGAATTCAGTGATATTTAGGTAGTCCTTACTGCTTTTGATTGAAATCAATGAGATAAAGAAACTTGATATATTTGTAACATACATTTGTTTATATAGAGAGATGTAGTCAATAATATATATGTCTCATTATGCTTAGTGCATATGCCAAACTAAGTTTAGGCATCTTTCCATCACTTTTGATGGTCCTTTTTTTATTGACTTCTTCCCAAAGCCATAAGTAAGATATTTTAATTTAGTTTAAATAGTTGTTTCTGGTTAGTAAATAAGAGAACAGGTATTTTTCAGCCTCTTTCTTTACTTTCAGTAAGGAATATTGATCTTGAGGTGGCCGAAACATATTTGCTATTAAGATCTAAGGGTAGATAAAAGTTTAATTGAGACATACTATACAGAAAATGCTGCCCTTAAAGAAAACCTAATCATTAAACAGAATGTGTTATAAACACATCTAGCAGCACAGAGGATTCTGCTTTCCCTTCGTCAGGACTTTCTGTTTGGTTGCTAGGCTATTACAGCCCKTAAAACCGCAGCAGTTTTCTTGAAACATCCTCAGTGTCAAAAGCTCTCTGTGAGAGATTGTATTTCATCTTCTTGTCCTTAGGAGGGAATCTTTAAAAGCGAGGGTGAATCTTCCAGAGAAGGCTTCTTGTAAAGTTCTGCCTGTTTGTCTAAAATTGAGAACGCTCTCTGCTTCCAACTCTCTTTACAACTTACTTCTTGATAAATACGATAATATTCCTTTCTTAGGGTAAATAAGATTGTATCTGTGCTATAGCATAGCTGTCCTGCTAGATGCCTCCTGCCTCTCCCAAAATGCACTGTTCTATCCTGAGGTGTTTGCAGACTTGAAGACAAATTAGTAAAATCTAAAATGAGATATATGTAATGAATTGATAGCCATTGATCCTTTAACAACTACAGTCAGCTCAGTACATGATTCACTTCTGCAAAATAAAAATAAGTTAGATTTGCTCTATATTTATTATTTTCTTTGTTTCTTACTTCTATAGAATTATGATGCTCATTTTGTGGTGTTAGACCTAATTTAGCTTTGTATTATAATCAGAGTTAGAGACTGAGCAAAATAAAGATACTTCGTAGGCTGCCACAGTATTAAATGATAAAAATATTGAATCTCCTCTATGTGAAGAGTGATATTTTCAGTACACATATAAATAGCCTTTGGTAATTATAATTTTTAAGACTAYTTGGTATAGTCAAAAGGGAAACATCTAAGTTTAGTGATATGGCAAACAATAAATAAACTAATTCTTTCATTCCAAAATTGTGCTATATAGCTAACAAGGAGTTAATGACTTTTTTTTTTTTTGCCCCCATAACAGAGTTTGAATAAAAATAACATTAGTATTACAGTCTGACATTTTTTCAGAGTGTTTGGCTGTTAAAATCTAGTACTACCYGAGTAATTAATGTGAGTGCATGGGGATATTTAAAGATCAAGCTGTTGTGAAGAAAAAATATATATGATTTTTTAAATTTACTTGATAGTGAGGATAAAAGTTTGGAATCAGCTGTTGTCAAAGTCATCAATCCGGATGAGCAATGTGATGGCAGCCTGGAGTTACAAGCATCTTCTTCCTCTCTAGTAGTAAAAGAGATTCTTCAAGAGGCGCCAGAGTTAATCACTCAGCAACTGGCTTATCTCCTCAGAGGTGAGAGATTACTCTTTATATTAAATACTGAAAGGTTTAATGGAGTGTTTCTGAATCTGCTCATGCAGAAAGAGTGTGATCCATTCTTTGGTTAACAATCCCTTTAAAGACCATGGGAAGCTTCATAAAAGAAGCAGGGAGTAAAGAGTTTGTTAAAGAGTAACATTATATTGAATATTAAAAATGTGCATTTAAAAATAGGCATGAGAGGTCTTTGCTGTATCACTAGACAAGAATATTAAATGGAGCTGTCGACATACCAGCTGGGTATCTGGAATAGCTGTGCACTTCCAACTTCGATTCCAGGGGCTGTGCAGTATTGACAGTTCGGCTCTGCCTGCCTGTGGACAACAATGTGGATGGGAGTCTAATGCTTGCATGCTAAAGCTTCTCTTCAGGGTGGTGATTTGTACAGAATCACATTTTAATGCTGTGATACGAAACTTGGCATATTCAATAATGCTACCATCAAATCTTAATCAACATATTCCTTTCCTTTTGTATTGTTTGCCCAGTACACTGCAAGTCTGTGAGACTTCTACAGTCAGAACTGTGCTCATTTCTGTCTTTGTAGTTTATCATTTGTATAATTTCTTGAGTTTCTGTGCTTCAGAAGAACTCTTTAATGAAAAATAAAACTGAAATTGTGAAAAATTGCTGCTTTTGAGCTATTTACTGAATTTTACTATTTTTTGCTGCTTTTGAGCTATTTACAGAATTTTACTATTTTTTACTGAGTTTTAAAGGCAATAGCTTTAAATTGCTGTAACTATTAAATTTCTTTTCAATACATTCATTTGCATATACTTAATAAGGATGATAAAGTCTTGCTGACATTTATGTTTAAGAAGCTACTGGATTCCTGGCTTGTCATTGTCCTGACCCTCTGATAGCTGAAGTAATGCATATGTTTTAAAAAAGTACAGAAAGTGATGTTTTCAAAGCCTTTTCTGTATTTCCGTGGAAGAAGTGTTAACAGCAACACAGGATCCAGCCCACTGTTTTAGAACATTCCCGTGCTAATAAGCCCTAGTAAACCTGCCATAGAGTATTTTTGTAATCTCCAGATTTCTGTTGAGTAGCCCTCTAAGAATCTAGGCAAATGATCAAMCAAAACAATTGATTTTTATGGCAGAACCTAGGAAGACGTTTAAGATTCTCTTTGGATGGAGATAGTTTGGTGACAGAAAATGTAAGGAGGCAGTGGTTTTAATAATAATATACATGATATAACACTACTCAGTAGTTAGTGAGAGTATGTCTGGGCTCTTTAGTTTGTATCCAAGTTAAATGCAGTACTTCTGTTAGAAAAATGTTGCAAGTGTTTGCATTAAAGTTTACACTGACAAAGGAGATTTTTTTTGGTTTGTTTAAATTAGTAAGTTAATATAAATTCTTTCATTTGGTAACAGATGCCTGCATAAATTATTGAATTTATGGTTACCTGCCTTTCTGCTTTTGCTTGGTGAGAAGTGGTCTACAAAACTAACAATAGCTGTGTTTGTCACCTGATTTTTTTGCTACTTCTCTCAAGAACACAACTGATATAAGGTTAAGTAGAATATCAAGTTCTGTCATAGTTCTTATAATAAAAAAAAAATTCTTCTACACATAGGAACCTGCTATTGCAAATTCAGAGAAGTCAGTGAATCCCCTTACTTCTTTTGATAATTTAAATACATACATATATATACATACACATGCACACACATATATATATTTATATATTTTATAAATATATAGAATACATCAGTCTAAATACATCAATCTGAAACTAAAAGATCAAATGCAGCCAGCTCAAATCCATCTTTTGAGTTTTTAATGCAGATTATGGTGTGCGTTGTGGTCTGGAATATGCAGATCTTTTGCCAAATCCTTGTCTGTAAATTACTACTTTGAAATCTGTCTCTACAAAGAGCATAGAAAATAAAGGGAGATATGCCTGTGGTCTGGAAGGAGGTGTGGCTGCTTTGTTCTTATCAGCAGCATGATATTTGGAATTTGGGTTTTATTTCCTTGAAACAGCTGAAGGATTTTAGCCCCTGAGCCCGAGTCTCTGAGTTGGAAATGGTTTGCTTTTTATTTTAATCTGGTCTTCCAGGGAATATTTTGCTCTAAGACTTCCTAGACAATAAAATAGCTCCTATCTTAATAAGTATCAGATAGTGGCCATGGCAGTTTCATTTGTTTTCTCTTTTGCAGCTTTCTTTTCCTCACATTCTATTAATGATTTCATTAATTCTGATAATAAACTCAGATATTTAGAAATGTTACAACCAGATGCTTTGGCCAAACTTAACCCACTCTGCTGTAGTCTAAAAGAAAAAAAGAAAAAAAGAAAAAGAAGAAGAAAAGAGGCATTCATGCAAAGCTGAGCATTATTGATTTAGGGAGTTTAATATTTAAGGACTTTCTTTTTCAGCTGAATGCTTTCCTGGTATCTTTGTCTCTTCTTCAGCTGTACTATAAGTTAATTCTACCCTTGGGCTTTGAAKAGAGCCTGGTCTGAGCGTCAAAGCGTTGTTCAGTCATATTTGCCTAAAGTTAGAGCTTGTCCTGTCCCTGGCTTTGAGCCAGGAGCAAACAATTATAAAACCTGCCAGAGACTTGGGCCTGTATTATTTTATTTCCCCAGAGATGTTTACAAGGGGACTGTTGCCAAACTCAAGATCCATTAAACTGCTGAATCATTACATTTTTTGTTGCAGCCAGCTGGCAAGGATATGATTCCAAGCACTCACTGTCAGGTATCTTGGGTCAGCGCACTTGCAAAAATGCCTCCTTATGTTTATTTGTATAGAGCCTTGAAGGATGCCACAAGGTGCAGACTGCAACATGTAAATACAGATTTACAGCAAGACAACACAATATTTGTATGTGGATCTGCTTTCGCTGGTTATTCACTGCATTGTTGTGGCCTTTTTGTGCCCTGTTGGTGCAGTCTGACTTTCAGTAGAGAAGATTTGTTTGTTATTCTAGCCACTCAGGCTAATGTTAAGAAATGCCCTTTTAAGGACTTTGGGAAGGTTGCCAGTTTTTCTTTCTTTCTTTTTTTTTTTTTTTCCTTCTTTTCCTTTTTTTTTTTTTCCTGCCTGAAATGATTCACACGTTCCCTAATTGGTCATGAAATGCATCCCCAATATATTTGCAAGAAAGAAGGGAACGTTTTAAATGCCACCAAACACTGTAATTATTTGGGTTGTTATTTTTCTTATTATGTATGGAAACAGTTATCTTGGAGGCAACTTTTTTTTTCCCTACTTGAAAGATTGCATTTTATTACATTTTATTCCAGCTTTGTGACTTTTCTGTCAGTTACTATGAAGGATGCTTGCTTGGGTGTTTTATTTGTTCTGTTTTGTTTTGGGAGAGGASTGCCTTTCCGTGAGGGACTGATGGTTTTCCCCTCTCGCTATCCTTTTATTTTATTTCCATGTCATGGAACAAAATTTTGACAAGGGAGACATCTGTATTTTCATTGTACTGTTCCTTTCAACGACAGACTTATCATTCAGGAGATGCTTGTGCTGTTCTTAATGTTTTCCCAAAACGACTTCTGCCTTCATTAGATCATGTTTAATATTAATGCACAGCAATTGCTTTTGGCAAAACTAGTGCTTCACTTCCAGACTGCTTTGCGAAAAGAATAAAATGCATATTGTTTTTTAAGAGGCCTAGCCTATTTTCTACTGACCTTTTCATGGGAAAAGATAGTGGTAATGTAGTGTGATATACACAAGAAATAATATTGAATCTTGTATTACCTATTTATTTCATTTTTGTCTTTCTGTGCTTGCAAGTGGACAGAACAGCTTCTGCAATGCTTTCAGAAATCCGCAGAGAGTTGCACCAGCATCAGCAGGAGATTTCTGAGCCCACGTATCTTTTTACATCGGGTACTTACAATAGAGCACGTGACCGAATGGACTACGGACCTTTGGTCAAGAAAAAATACCTTGAGTAAACTCGTTTTTTAAACTATCTGGGATCTTAGCCCTTGCAGGGATGCTGAGGAGTCCAGTGTTTCAGTGTTACACGGAAAAGATCTTTCTTTCCTGCTGATGAGCATAGTGTTAAAGAACAAAGGAGGAATAAATGTTGGGTTTAGGAATTGCTGACACCATGCTAATTTGAGAAAACTCTCCTCTTCCTTTCACCTAAGCGGGAAAGCTGACAATTGTAAGGACTGCAGTGTTGCTGTGACAGGTCAAAAAATAGCTTWTTTTTTTTTGAGATGTTAGACTATGCTGAGACATTGTTTCAAGAAAGACTAAGTTTGTTTCTTGCAGTAAGTGGTAAATTCCTCAGTAAGTTTGCTATCTCACTGGAAAATGTCATAGCTGATTAAAATATGCAAACAGGTCAACCTTGAGGAGTTGAAAAACAAAGGCCAGGRCTTCCTGTTAGATGCTGGACTATGCAGCTTGTTTGAAAACTGATGCAGTTCTGTAACTTCTCTCTAATTTTGTAATTATGCAGTAACATGTGTGTCCCACCAAAGGTAAGGTGGAATTCAGGATTGGCCTTGCCTTTGAAGAAATCCAGATTTTGTCATACACATGATRATAAGAATCAGATCCAAACTGTTACTGGGACAAATGCATGGAGAGCTGCCATGGTATATATRTTCCAAACAATCTTTTCCTTGCTTTTGACTGGGGAAATAAGTAAATACTGCACAAGACCCCTCTCATCAATCCATGTTTTTAGGAGATTTAAACTAGTAGATTTTATTAGCAGAAGCAATGCTACAGGAACAGTATACTGTAGAACTGTTATGGTATGAAAGAAATCTATGCTAATATAGATAATAATATATATACAGCTAATGTGCTAATATGCTTATTATATCATGTGCTGTTTCAGAAAATAGGCATTTCTTAAAGAGAATTTCTCAGTGCTGCATGACTGGGGYGGTTGAGGCAGCTGTCAGAATCACAGCCGGATCCTGACCTGGCTGTTAGACCCTGCCTTGTTGTGATCACTGTTTTCTGCTGCCAGTTCTCCTGTTTGCTGCACACGGAGAAACATGAAGCCTTTCTGTCTTCTTCCTTGTTTCCCCCTCTCTGTCATGCCTCCCTGTACCTTTTTGCTTGGCCCCAGAAGATCTGGATTACCCTGGGCTGCTCCAACCTTGAACTACACAGTTGTGTCTTTTCTAGATGTGATCATCCCCTGCTTGAAATAACTGAAATAGAAAAAAGGGCTAATAATCAGTTTGATATTATTGCAATAGCTTGGAAATAAGTTCAGTGAGTACCACAGAAAAGAATGTTTTACTCAAATTCTAAGCCCCCCAAACTGTTGCCATTTGACAGTTGAGCATTTATCACATTTTAGGAAGGATATAATTCCTACATTCTTCTTACAACTTAGCAGAAATCCAGAATTGATTGAGTAGTGTAGTTATTGTTCAATCTGTAATCAGTCCTGTAATGAGGCTGAACTGATATGTAGTATACAGAATTAAAATGAATCAGAAGCTGAATATAATAATGGTCCTAAAATGATCATGAATGACATAAATCAAATAAGAGACAACTGAGAATTAACAGAATATTGAAAGTTACCAAATCTATAATATGAACCCAGAGTGAAATTCTTATGTCTGAATTTTCAAAATTTAACATCTGATGGAGAACATCTTTTGGCTCATTAAGCATTTTTCTTAATAAGGTTAATTTACAAGCAAGTATTTTGTAGGTATAGTTTTTGACTTTTATTTTTGATTTAACACGTGTCAGTCCATTGATTTTTGTTTTCAATGCCCCAGTTCTTACCTAGTTACCAGAAAAAATGTGATTTCAGCAAGTATCTGCAGTAGTATTTGTCCTGTGTATGTTTCATTGCCCTCTCCCTGTGTTAACATGTTATGGTGAATTTATACAAGTATTGTATAGCATGTTGAATAATTGTTGTGCATTTTGATGACACGTTATTTTGTTTAGACTTATCTGTGTACCCCAGTGGCCAAGGGATCAGCACGTCATTTTAGGACATGTGAGGGCAATTCCAGTCTAATCTAGCAAGAGAGGGTGACCATGTACAAGTTTTTCTGTTCCTCTCTTGACTGTAATAACTTTTTGACTCATAATAACTATCTTAGACTACTGTTTTACTGATTTCCTTATGATTGTTGAATAGTGCCATAGGGTGACATGGTTGTTTGAAATCCCTGTGTACTTTAATGCTGAAGGGTAAATTTATTATCTTTAATTCACTGTTAGTAATTGGTTGGGAAGATTATCTTTGCACATATTAATAAATTCCAGTCTTCTAAAAGTTAAAAGGGTGACCTTGAGTCCTCAAACCCCAAAGAATCCTAACATCCAGGATGGAATACATACCGTAATAATTGTCTGATGTACGTCAAGCTTACTTCTGGCTTGTAAGAACATAGCAATTATACTGCAGTAATTTAATGGACTATGTTTCTCTTAACTTTTAAAATTTAATGTGTCATTTTGTTTGGCTGAATATACTGTGTTTTTTTTTCCTTTATCCTTTGGCATGGATACAAGTAGAGTCCCTTGCACTGAAATGACCAATGACTCATGTAACTTCATATTTCTAAAGTTATTCAAAATGTCTTTGTAAGTTTTATTCAAGGAGATTAAAAAGAATATTGGGGATAATTGCCATTAGAAATGTTCATTGGATGCATTTATGAAGTAAAACTATGTACCAGAACCCATCATTTTCTGAAAAGCATAATTGAAATGAGATCTGTATTATTTCTTTGGGTTTGGGAGTTATTTAAAATCTAATTATTTGGTATATTAATGTCTAACCAGTGTATTGCTTGTGCATATTAGCAGTTCATTACTATGTCTGTAGAAGGAATCTTAACAGTACTGATTCACCATTTCCCAGCTTTCAAGCTGTCTTCTCTTTGGAGCTAATGTAATTTAACAAGTCTTGGTATAATGCTTAGAGCAACAGCCTTGCTCAGGCCCCTTGAGACCTGCTGCTAGCGAACGGCTGCACGTCAGAGCTAGGTTGGAGCTGAGCCATGTGCTGCAGCCTGCCACTGGYGTGGGAGCAACCAGATAGAGGCAACGGAGGCCCTGGCAAGCCATGCCCGTCAGGTTTTAGAAACTGTCTTCATCCTAAYGGGAACAGCACTTACTGTGTTGTTCTAGGAGCTCACCAGTGGAATTAAGCTTCAAGAAGGAAGCTTGACTTGCATAGAGATGAAGCAAATACTCTTATTTTTCTAGTATTCCTTTGCTGTTTACAGGAGATACTGATTTTTGTCCTTCAATATTTCAGGAAGCATTCTCTTCAAGTGCATGTCTTTGGAACCTGAGAGAATTGCAGCGCAGCAGGAGAAAGTGCTGTCAATTCTTGAGGAAAAGTTTCCAGAGCTGCCCCCACGGCAGGAAATTATCTCAGTTCTCCAGGAGAATCGGTTTAACCCTCAAAGTAATGCAATTTATTTCCATTTTTCACGTATTTTATGAATTCAATTATGCACCTGCATCTGAAAAGGTTGATGTGTTGTGTGTGGTCACAGTAGGTGGAACATGAGAGCTTTCATCACTGACAGTTACATGTAAAGGTGATTAATTTTAAATTAAAGCATTGACATCTCAAACCTTGCAATCAAGTTGATGAACTTCTAAAATACTCTTATATTGCTTTTACAGATAAAGTAAATGTTAATTGACTTCACATACTTGTTTTTACAAGAATATTTTAAATATTTGCCATGATGAAGTGGGAGCCAGTACTGGACATAACCACTGTATCAGCCTATGGGCAGGATTGTGTTTTAATTACCTACATGGTATGGAGTGGATTTTATGTTTCAAATCTTCCCAAATATATTGATTTTTTTCATCTATTAAGGCTTTGTGTAGATGAGTAAATTTGACTTTAGACTAGGGTTAAGGAAGCAGTGGGGTAACTGTACTTCTCTTTCATTTCCTTCTGCTAGAAAGAACTGAAGACATTTGCTACTTATTTGATGATCAGAGCTGGGAGTGTTTGAACCCCAAACTGATAACAGGTTTGGGAAGGAATGCTCTGAAAGTCTGAAGGGAGATGTTACAGTAACTTTTTCATGCTTTGATACTGTCTTTTTTAAATGACATCACTGAGTCATCACTGAGGCATAAAAAGTTCTGAGTTTCACACAGAAATAGTGATTTACTGGCCTGAATTCATAAATTCATTGGTTATCTGAGGCTTGGTAGACTGTACCCTAAAGAAATTCTGCTGACTACATAAAAGTATTTTTGAAAGGTCAGACTCATAAATATAATGAATACATGAACAACAGCCAGTTTATCTTGTCATTAGATTGAATGCAGTAGCTGGACTTTATACAGGAACAGGAAAGCATTTACTTGCTTTGCAAACAAATTTATTTGTTTGGCCTAAGCATGTATTTGTGTTCCTCGTAAAAATCACTTACATGAACATATTCTTAAATGTGCTGGTAAGCTTTATGATTCTGCAGAAATTCTAGGTGCCTGTCAACATTGAAACCTCTTTCATTGAAAGCTCTGTCACAGAGCTTTGTTTATACAAATATTTGGCTGTTTTGTCTGTATTTTTGACAGTGTCATATGAACATGTTCCAAAATATATCTATATATTTATTTTAAGAGGATTTTGGACAGACATCACCTCTTAAAAGAATTTAACACATCTGGTTACATGAGGAAGGAATTCTAATTTTACAGTCTGCTGATGATAATATCTACTTCTAATTCTATGGTGCATATGCAGCTAGTTGGTTTATTCACTGTTTGATTTACATAGAAAGAACCTGTTGATGTTGGTAGCAACATGGAATATGAGAAAAGTTGAATGACTCTGTCTTTTCAAAGTATCTTTAGTATTCTGCCTCGGCATATTTTGTAAATATAGTTATTTAACACTTGTGCTTTTCAGTGTCTTTCTCCTTCCAGAGGTATTTCTTGTAGGTGACATAAGGATGGACTATGTATAAATTTATCAAAAAATAAAATTTAGTGGACTTCAAAAATGTGAGTGCTCACACAATTTCATTGCAGGAGACTTAGTTCTTCATCCTTTACTCTTTATTTTTAAATCATTTCCTTGCTCAAAACCATTGGAAACATTATGCATTGATATATCAATGCGGGGTTTAGTTTTCTGATAGAATGTCCAAAAAAACAGAAGACACACATTTTACATTATACATTATATATACATCATATATAAGATTCAGGCTGTGCTCTTAGTTCATATTGTTGTGTCTGGTTAGCTGTAGATCCTTGGGTGTAATGAGATTTTTTATTTTCTCAAACAGGCATAAATATTGAGGAGGTTATGCTGAAGGATCTCAAGGAACTTTCAGATGGAGAAATCAAAGTAGCAATTAGCAGTGTGTACATGACACTGGAGGTAAGAAGTAACCTAAACAACCTAAACAGCTATTTCAAAAAGAAACAGTTCTTAAAGATTTTGAGCCACTTATTTTATCAATACTGTATATGAGCAGAGTTTTCACTGATATATTTAATTTAGAGGAATGCAATAGCTATTTGATGTCTAACTTTCATTAGTATGCATAGCAGTATTCCTTCTGGTAAGTCTGTACCGTGTTATGTTAAAACAATGTCACTGGCAAATTGCACCCTTAGGTGAATTGAAGATGTGAGATATCTTACCATTTCTTCAATAGATTGTTAGGGGTTGTACTTTGTCCTAGTTTTCASTTGCATCCAGACTTGCAATTTCTAAATCTACAAATCTGTTGTTTACTTCAAAACTCTAAATTTGGCCTAATGGAGGGAGGCTGCTTGGAATTTTTTTGTTGATTGGTCTCAAGCATTTTGTAACTGTTTAGGGAAAAGTCCTGTGGAGTTTTTGTTTTGTATCATTATTTTTAGACAATTTGTATTATGAATTTCAGTAGCTATATACTATATAGCTGTTTATTATAGCTATAGTGACTGTTATGTGTAAATATTTTAGTTTATTGAATAAATATGAAATGGCAATATTACTTCTTCTCAGGGTAGTTTGTGTGTTCATACAGAAGTTGTCATGAAAGGAAGCACACTGAAGCRAATATGAGTAAAAGAGATGCACTTTTAAGTACAATATTATTAGCAGTTTTTTTAATGTGTACAGAAGTCATCCATTCCTGAGTAGCTGACATGCAAAATAAGTCATCTTCTTGTGCTTTTGCATGTAACTTTAAAACTTTTTTTCAACCTAATGATATTAATCACTGCTTATTTCCCATGAGAGTTCTTATGAAATGTTTTTTGTGATGCATTTTCCAAAAAATATAAAGTGCTTTTGAGGCTGAAGGAGTACAATTGAGCTGATAATTATCCAGATTGCTGCTTTTTTGTCTTCAATTTGCATATACACAAGCTGGGTAGCAAAATGTCAAGAAATGAAGTAGAATCCAATTAGTTTCTTAGTGCTGAGCTATCTTCACCAGCCACTAAACTCCTTCATGAACCCTGATTTAGATCCTGAAAATCATGCAAAAGTTGGGAGAAAAGTGGATAGGGGAAATAAATCTCATGTTGTATGATAAATCTCATGGGTAGGAAATACGATGAAAAAAATCCTAATAGAGTTGGAACTTTTGTTTTTTATTCTGTCAGTTTCAGTGAATTATAGGCACACTGGCCTGGTGACTATAGGCTAGCTGTATCTCCTTTTTATTTATTTTACTCTCAATCTTGTTTAATACGCTATGCAGAGTGCGAACCGTTTGCTTCACAGATCTAAGCTCCCAGTAATTCTAAACCTATTTGAATTCACCTTTACTACTTTACAATTATACAAAATGAATCGCAGTCCAGAACTTGCATTTCTTTTTGCTTACAAAATGTATTTGACTCTAGTTAGTAGCTTTTGTGTTCCTAAAAGCTGTTAAATTTTCATATTCTTTTTGGTAACTGTATAGAGTTTGATGCTGATAGATCAAAAGGTGTCAAGATTTGATGGTCAGGCTGTAACTTTCACAGTTGGTTTTGTTAGGGCATATGTAGAGGCTATGGAGGAAGAAAAAGGAGGATGCACTGCCTTTAAAGAGAATAAACAATGACCAGAGTTTTACAGAAGTTAATTGATTTTTCAAAGGAATGTTATTGCTAGCATTTTGGGGGGATTTAGTGGGGTATGAAGAAYTGGGATATCTCAAAAGCTTGCTCACTGTTGTACTATGGATTGTTGCTATTAGGAAAAGCTGTTTTTTGAAGATAAATAGGAAGGTGTTTCTGGTTACAGTGTTTACAAAGTCACACTTTGGACTAAAAGGTCTCTTGGTTTCACTGTTGGGTTGGAGATTAGTTTTGCATTTGCTGTGCTGCTGCACTTTGTCCTGGCATTTTCTGAGCACTGTGATTTATAAGGCTTGACCAACACCGAGCAAATTTTGCCTTGTTCTTTCTAGCAGTCAGGGATGGTGTGGTGTGTGCCACGGTGAAGCAAGTGGCCTGTAAAAATGTTCTGTACAAGGTACTTTGCACTTTGCCCGGTATTTGAAGAATACTACATGTAAGGGAATTATAAACAAAACTGGACCTGAGTCTCTGATCAGTTTACGTTTCTATTATAAACTCAGAATATACAGCAACATTAATAGACTTCAGAAATTTCTCCAATAATAATGATTATCATTTGCTATCCAGCTACAAAGTACTCTGGAGCCAATACTTAAGCTTTAAGGGAATGTGAAGCACAAGCTTAGCTTTGTTGCAGAAGCTGGATCTCTGGCGTGTTTGCTTATTCACAAGTCTCACATGGTCAAGTTGTTTTTTAAATGAACAGACATGTAAAAGCCTCTTTCATTAGTGTTTTCTGTAGACTTGGTTATTTACTTTGGTTCAAAAGTCCAGTAGTGTTTTTTCTTTTATTCTGTAGGTGATACTGCAATGACCAAAGTTGATGATTATATGATTATACCTTGTGAGATGGTATAGCAAATTCAAGCTCTGATTTCAGTGATCATCTCACAGTAACAGAGACAGTCAAAGAGCTCTAAGATCGATTATTTAAGAAGTGCCACACCTTGGTAGCACATACTTGAACCTCAGCTGTTCTGAAAGCTAATTTACAATAGGTTTTATTAATTTTTTAAAAAGTAGGTTCTGACTTATCATCCATTCCTGAGATAGTATTATTGCCCTGGAGCTATGTTGTTTTCYCTTCTCTACCGCAGATTTCTTATGTTAGATAAATTGATGTCTCAGTTTCCCTTCTGTCACTGAGGACACAAATACCTCATTTCATAAATGGGCTGTGAAGGGATATTAGTTGAAATCTTGAGATCTGTTTAGTCATATATGTTGCTATAAACCTTAATATTTTCATTAGTACATTTTTCCAAATTGGTTTATACAAAGAATATTGTGATAATGAATAAGTTGTATCACATCATTAATGCTCATAATTACTCCAAATACTATTTCATTTTAATATTCAGAGACCTAGAACACAGAGACACGGTCCTGTTATCCAAAGGTTTTCATGAAGAAAGACAGGAATGAAATAGTAGTTACATAACTGATCTGCATACTTTATTTCTTTGTGCACTTGATGTTAATCATCAGAATGATTTGGATCCTCTGTTGGTTTAGGAGTTGACAGCTGACTCATGTCTTTCAAGTGCCTCAGTAAAGGTCATCTCATACTCATCTGTGTGCTGCCCAGGGAGGCTGTGGAGTCTCCTTCTCTGGAGATCTTCCCAACCCGCCTGGATGCCGCCCYGTGCCCCRTGCTCTGGGTGTCCCTGCTGGAGCAGGAAGGTTGGACTAGATAATCCCTAGAGGTCCCTTCCGACCTTCAACCATTCTCTGATTCTGTGATTCTGAACATATTTGTTGGACTTAATATTTTGGTTCTTCAAAATTTATTCTAATTGCTCACAAAACTTCAAAACTTGCACCAGATTAGGGAGTTAGCAAATCAAATGTCTCTAGAGAAAACCAAAGGATCATGTATCAATTTGAAAACAGAGCTAATGGTGATTGCCTGCTATTGACTGTTAAAGATGAGGGAATATGTATTTTCCAGACTTATGGGAATACCTGAAAGCTGACTGATCTGCTGAGATACTTACTCATGCTTCTAACCATGATATCTCAGTCTTTCATAAGGCTARTTGTTAGTTTTTGCAAAGAAAGCATGGTTTGCTTCTGGTACTGGTGATCCTGCCAGAGCCAAGTGTGTCTTGAGAAAGGCTACTATGGCTTTGAGCAATGTTAATTTTGAATCCTTGCTGAAACAGGCAGACTATACAATTTTTGTAATCTTTTATTATGGTAAACTCAGAGCCACCTCTAAACCCATGACAATCAAGAGATTTAAAGGGAATGTATGAGCCTCACAGGAAGCTGCATGGAGCTGCCACAGGAAAATCACCTAGTTCCTAATGGCCCACAGAGCAGGACTATCCTAGCGAAGGCTGTGGGTTATGTACCAAGATCCTTCTTTATTGCTGAGTGTCTTAGAGAAATTCACAAGAGCTGTTAGAACAAGTCTACCTGAGAAAATTTAGACCTATTTAGGAGCCCATCTGATCTTCTTCTTAATAAGTGTAGTCTAATTTCAGAGATTTATTATTTTCAAGCTATTTCAGCAAAATGTCTCAAAATTGTATTAATGATAACAATGGAGTGTACAACTATACTTATTTTGGGCAAACATGTCTGATTGTTATGAAGAGTATTTTTTTTAATACTTCCGTTAATAAAGCAAGTAACTGCCTCAGCAGGAGTACACCAGACGTGTTGAGCTAGGTGTRCTACTGCACACAGTTAAATGAGACTGCAACATATTTATTTGAAGGATTGAACTTCTGAACTGATCAGACTGTAGTTTTGTATTTGGGAACTTTATTTCTTTGAGGATAAATACAAACATATTTTAAATGGCATCAGATTGGTCCATGAATTTGTTTTTAATGCTAAAAGCAAAACAAATGGGAAAAAAAAAAACAAGTAAACATGGTAGCATTTAATCTTCCAGTAATGGAATTGGAAACAAAATTCTCAGCAACTTACAATGGCAGTGTTGTTTGGAGATATTTTTCTGATGCCTGTTGTGAGAAGTTAGGGTATGTAAAATAAATGATGTATGGAGCTGTAGGAATGCGACTTTTGCAGACTACCTTATGTCTAAGGAACATTAAACATAGGGTTCTCGTTTAGCAAATAAATAACCATTCATTTCAATGGCTGCATAGTCTGGACTTTTCTGCATATTTTTGCAAAGATGAGAAGAGGCCATTAGGGATTTAATATAAAATAAATCGCCAAGGGGTCTTCTTGTAGTCCTAGTCTTTCTGCCACATGGTGTGTCACTAATGTGCATAAATGGGCTTAAATGAATTTGTTATCTGTATTGCATTTGCAGTATGTATATATTTATATATTATT